TCATTCATGCCGAGAGATACAGCAATCTATCCTATTTTGGTAAATCTGTAACTCAAGTAGAATCTGCTGTGACCTAGCTGTTCCTGCAATCCTTCTATATCCTGTTTATATATACGCAAAGTTGTATTCTGAGAATGACACTGAAAGTCAAAGCAAAGAAGGTAATTTTTGAAAAAATTGTGAGATCCAGTAGCACAATATAAGGGTTAGTTGATTTAGAACTGAAAGTGACAAAATAGTTAAGGATGGGGATATAGCGTTAAATTAGGTACATAGAATGAAAGACACAATAAAGACAAGTAGTACTTTTCAAATTTAATTCTATTGTATCAGAAAGTTATCTAATGTGCCTATAATTTCACATTATACGTGCTTTGTAACATATTGACTATAACAGTTAATACGAACAAAAGAATTCTAACAATGGCAGCTGGCTGGCTATGAACTCTTCATATTAGCTCGTACAGTACCCTGAAAGGATGTAGGCCCTTCTGTACCCATTGCTCGCCCCGCTCACTTTCGCCAACCAATCAGATGGCCAATTAGCCTAAGGGCCAACCAGAGAAGCCAATGGAAGTGGGCGGGCAATAGAACGGTACGGAAAGGCTGTTTGCCCTCTGAAGTTATGGAGTCTATCGTGAGTATCATTCCCAAAGAAGGATAACATCTAATGATGCTGCTTTCACTAGAAGATAAGCTGTAAGTTGGAGATCCATGTTTGTACAAATATCATGAGAGATTGAGCAGTATTAGCCTAGTGTAGCCTGATTCCTGAGTGATGGCAATGGAGCATATCCCCGATCGCATTGGCACATACGATATGTTGAAGACCTAATGCACTAAGTCCTTTCGAAGGTCGACAGAATTGTTCGCATTGAGGTCCACTGAAATGTGATTGTACTGAGCTTTACTATTGACTAGTACATTTTTAACTAAGAGCGCTCACGTTTTTGCTGCAACTCTTTTGTGTCTACAGCATTCAGTGTTGTCTTTTCCTTGAGAGGCACATTCCAAATAGGGTGCAACGCTGAATATCCCACATAGTCCACGATCCATAGCAGACCGCACCTAAATCACTTATCTCCCTGCTTGTCGAGTTTTCCCTATTTTCAAATAATTCAGCAATTTCTTATTCAGTTTCTTCCGTGTTTGACTTTTCACAAAAGCAGGCTCTCTCGCAAAGGGATGCGAGTGACAATTTGAACGTGCTGCTGCAGAAAAAAACTCCAAAATTTTTTTATTTTTCGGCAATTTTGCGGAGATTAAGTTTATGTTCGTGTTCAGCACACGATTTAAAAAGATAAAGGACCTAAAGTTTTATTTAAGGTTTGAGATCTTCAAACTGGGAAATTCCCGGTTAGGTCAATCCCAAAATCCAAGTGTGCGCAACAAT